CCAATTAACATAAAGAAATTGTCATCTATGTGCAATAATCAAGCAAACTGGAGATGGATCTTGGGCAAAATATGCAAGTTGATAGAAAAGAAAGGTGGAAATTAAGGATTTCTGTCTGACGATGACAATGATAACGATGTCTATTATTGAGCTCTTATTATGTCACAATTACTATGAAAAATAGTTTATAAGTATTTTCTCAATTAATCTCTCCAACAACCCCATGAGGTACTATGATTACCCCAGTTTTACAGATTGAGGCACAGAAGAATTAAGTAGCATGTCCAAGGCCACGCAGAGAATAAGCAGAGGAAACGGGATTCGTTCCAGGGTCCTAACTACAAAGCCCTACCTCTCGACCAATGGTTGTTTTTCCTACATGTCCCCTGGGACTTCCATCCCAAGAAAAATCAACTAAGGGCAGACCTGATCTGCAACATTTCTCTGATTCTCTCTTCTCCTAATAAAACAGAGGGAGGGAGGGGGAGGGGGAGGGGGAGGGAGAGGGAGAGGGAGAGGGAGAGGAAGGAAGGAAGGAAGAGGCAAGCTGAGCAAAACAAATGCTCTGGTTTAAGGTTTCCTCTTCTCCCCGCAACTTCCATCACCCAGTTCAACACACTCGTGACTAATCTGATTCTGCCTCACATGAAGTCAGGTCTGAACAGCAAATTACGGGGGCAGAAAGTATAAGGTTCACTAAATAGGACAGGCTGATTGGGACGATGGGGTGGCTCAGGCATTAGCACTGCCATGTGGAACCTTCCTCCTCCATATATGTTTGTCTTTCCTGAATAGTATGTTAAAGGCATGGCTACAACCTGCTGACTGATCCAGTCTAAGAATCATCAAACCAGTTGATGGCAGATAAATGGACAACTCTGGAGGCCTTAACCTGGCTTTCTGAAAAGGATCCTCTGTCAGAAAAGCCACCTGGATTGAAGAGAAGCAGTATCAGGAAGAAATTTGAGACAGAGAATGCTATAAGATGAAGCCAGGCTTACCTCATCCAATGGAAAACTGCTTAATATGCCATCAAGCTTACACAATCTCTCCTTCCTCTCTAACTCAGAGGATACCTGGGGTTTTCCGATTGAGTGTCCACTGAAAACAGCAGGGGGGAGTGAAAGGCGCCTTGCAGTGGGCATCAGGACAGTGAGTAGTCTCACTCTTCCAGGGGTGAATGAATGATGATGAGCCAATGAGATAATACAACTTCTGACATACCTGCCAGTTCGAAGAGTCTCCGATTCAGTAAGAAAACCTCAACATGATCAGTGGTTGCTTATGAAATTAGACAGAGTAGGGGATCAGAAACAGATTGGGTGCAATTCGAATATTAACAATGACAAGAGCCACAGTCCTGCCTTCCACTGAGTATTTCGGCTGACTGCTGTTCTCTACCAGCAAAGAACTGACATGAAAATCTAAGTAGCCCAACACCGTGCTCAATCACCAGGGCAGGTAAAGCATCCAAACGTCATGTATCCATAGATCGTCCCCTCAGTGCATTTCTAGTCCTCATTCTTTGCCCCTGTCAACTGGCTTTTGTTTTCAGTATCTCTAAATGATCTATTATGATGTCCATATGGGAACTTGATTTCGTGAAGTCATACAAGGGAGGAAAATTGCCACCTTTCCCATATGAAAACCAAAGAATGCATTAAAAAGGAATGAAATTCTGACACTTACTACAGCATGAATAAATCTTAAAAACATGTTAAGTGAAATAAACCAAACACACAAGGACAAATACAGTGTGATTTCACTTGATATGATATGAGGTACCTTGAACAGGCAAATTCACAGACACAAGAAAGTAGGTTCAAGGTTACCAGGAGCTGGGGAGGAGGGAGAATAAGCAGTCATTATTTAATGGGCAGAGTTTCTGTTTGGGATGAAGAAAAAGTTTAGAAATGGATAGTGCTAGTAAAACATTGTGATATACTTACATATACACTTAAAAATGGCTAAAATGGTAAATTTTGTGTTATGCATATTTTATGTTGATAAAAAAAATGGGGAAAAAAATCAAAGCACACAGTATGTTTCACAAGTGACCAAAATGAAAAAAAAAAGTGCCCCAAAATTTCTCCTTAAAATCTTTTTTTAAAAAAAGTAGACTGGGGCCGGCCAAGTGGCGCGATGATTAAGAACTGGCTTGGGACGCCAGAGGGCCCCGGTTCGGATCCCACATGTGAGGGCCAGTGACACTGCCCTCCACAGCTAAGATGCTGAACAACAGCTCAACCTGGAGCTGGGCTGCCCTGAGTCGCTGGCGACGGCATAGGCTGCAGCCCCTGTGGCAGTGGGTTGCCATGGGCTACCGTGTGTAGCCAGCAGCCAGCGTGAGCGGCCAGCAGCCGCTGTGAGCAGCTGTCCAGAAGCTGGCGACTCATCTGCCTCGCCTGGGAAGAGCGCAATGATGGTGCCAACTTGGGCCAATGAAGCAACGTCCTCCACAACTAGACTGAAGAACAAAACGACAGCAACTTGTCTGTTCCCCTTCCCCCAATTCCCCAGCGCTGTTCCCATCCCCCCAATTCCCCAATAAAAATCTTAAAAAAAGAAGTAGACTGCAAGTTCCTTGAGGACAGGGACCAAATCTGTTTTACTTACTGATATACAGTAGTTACAGTATTGCACATTAAATGCTTCATAAATGTTTAATAAATAAATGATTAAAAGAAAATAGGCCAAGGATTCTCCTACAAAGGAAATATAACATTCAAAAAGCTCTAAATTTAATTATTCATGAGAAAGTATAATGGAGCAAATTCCAGAGAAAAATACCAATGCTACTATATCTAAGCTGCTCCGGTTCAGGAGAAGGAGTGCATGTGTTTCATCTGCACTGTGTCCTACAATTTCTTACACATAGACGATGGCTAACAAATGTTTGCAGAATGCGGAATAAAAACATGCATGACTGTAAAACCAATGTCATATTACTGCTCTTCTCTTTATTCCCCGTTTTAAAACTTACTCACTTTTTTCAAATGTACAATTCCTTCCGTCACAGGGGGGAAAAAAACAACAAACCAGCCTAGTAGCTTTCACAGAGGGAAGGTAAAAACATAAATAACTAGAATACGTTATTCTCAGAAAAAAAGAAACAGTAAACACAGGGCTATCTTCTGAATACAAAGTTTTTTAAAAAAAGAACAAGTGAAGTATGGAAAGGAATAAGTATATAGTCCATCTTGACTTTTTAGACCATAACAAAAAATATCATAATAGAAAAAAATTGAACTCTCTTTGGAAGAATATTGAAATATTCATTCCCAAAACTCACTGTCCAACCTTTACAATGAACAGTTTGAGTGAATACAGAAGCATAGTTAAGGCTCCCCCCGCCCTCCCGCAATTCTATAGTGAATCCTAACACAGTATCAATATTTTTCTCAATTAGCCTATCAAGTAATCAGGAGCCCTTTCTTAAAAATACCTATGTCACAAAATTATACACAAGTTGCTTATGGCCAACATACTATAGCAAGTTACTGGTGGTGGTCTCAAGTAATATTCACTGCCTACATCATCTACATTTTACTTGAATTATTGAGTTCAAGCACACCTAAGTTGGGTATTTTTAAAGCAAAGATCCAAACGCTGACATCCTTAACATTCAGCACCTATGTCATAGATGGATCCTTAAGAATTCACTAGGACCCTGCAATGTGGTAGCCTCACTTTGAACAATATTAAAGCATGCCCTTCAACTCCAACCCAGCCCCACGGCTCATGCTGTGTGTCAATTAACAAAGGAAACAGGAATTCAACCTCTGTAGTATCCAGGTTTACATTTCTGTCTCTTGATTGTTATCTTCTTCACGGGCAGATAAGCATCATTTTGGAGTAGCCTGCCTGCTGCCCAGCTCCTTCGTGCATGCAGGGGCTCTCCATTTGCATCCAAAATGCTAATGGTCCACTATCAGAGCCAGCGCTTCAAACAGAACTGCACGAAGGCTCAGCCCTTCCATACACGAAAAAGCATAACCACTCCAGGTGTAATGATGCAAAATACCAGCACACTGACCTCTCTGCCAGGCAGCACACACTTAAAGCAGGTGTGTTTCCGTGCTCCAGAAAGGGAGGGGGTGAACTGAGCAGGGAGGAAGCCTCAGATCCCCAGTATAGCAGAGATGTTTATTTCACTCAGCTCCAACCCAGCTAATGCATGGACATCAGTTTACCCAAAGGAAAAGAAGTGGTCTCCTGTCCTTCCCTGGCTAGACTCAGAGGGCATGCAGCCAAGCCCGGCCAGGAAAAACAATCTGTAAAATCTCTTTAAGCTGTAATAAATGAGTTTCAGGAGACATAAGACTCAGCTATGGCAAAGAAAAACAGCCACTAAACCTTTTCCTCATTTTATCATTGCTGCTGGTGTTTACAAACTAGCAGCAGGAGCCTCGGGAGACTCAAGGGACTCTCCCATGAGTAACCTCCTATCATGTCCCTAATGGAAATGCCCCCTTTATCAATCTGTGATGTTTTGGGCAGTTAAATGCAAGGAGATGAGTAAAATGACATGCATAAAAGGAATCCTTTGCAAGTTGTAAATGAGTGAGTCAGGATTCAGACTTGCCGAGATGCTCCGAATTAAAACCCTGGCTCTAATTTTAAGCATGCTCCGTCTTACCGTTTTGCTGTTGTCTCTCCCAGGCTCGATTCACCTGGAACTCTTTAACATGTCTCTGGCAATGTGTTTGCACCAGGCCAGGCTCATCCAGCAACTGAATTCACATCTTTCTGCACTAGCAAGCTGAAATGGTACGGCCGTACTACAACCAAGAAAGGGGGAAGCAGAAGCAGGGAAAAAAAAAAAAAAAAGAAAACCCAACACAGAAATCACCCCAGAGAAGCTAACCTCAGTGGAATAAGACCAAAAATGGTTCAGAAGAACACAAAAGACATGCTAACATTCAGTATCAACAGCTTTAACAGTTCGATTTTTTTCCCCAAAAAAATCTCTTTTTTTTTCCCAAACACGATGGACTTGCCTGTGGAGTTCCCAGGAAGGCAGAGTAACCGGGCTCTGCAGCAGCATTGCAGCCAAAGTAACTGTGCATATGCTGTCCAAGCAATTCACAACACACTGTCTCTTTAGAAAGATATTGATTTGCAATGCAGGGCTGCTTCAAAACAACACAGAATTGGAGCCAAACGGCTAATGGAGATTGCATGGAAGGAAAAACATTTAATCAAGGGGATGCACCTCATCATGCTCAATTCAATTTTTTAAAAGCACTGGAGGAAGCCAGTAAGTGTCTTGAGTGACAACCCCATTAAACAATAATCTGAGGTCCTATAGAAGGCCAAGTTTAGGCTACCATCAGTCATGCTGCAAAAGCCACTAAAATGATTTATTGTGTCTATGTGCATAAATTTTCATACACAAATAGGGCATAATGAGAACTCTAAAATAATAATGCACCAAATAGGTGAGGTTAAAAAAATGCACAGGTGTAGCATTTATAGACTAAAGTGATAAAATAGATAATCATGAGCCTGCAGAATTCTTGGTGGGGTTAGAGCTCATACCATTCTCAAAAGTAAAACCCCACCACAAACCAGATCTCACAAACCTCAGGCTAATTGTGTCAAGTCATGCCACATGGTGCTGGGTAGCAAGGAAGGATGCCAAACTGCTACTCTCATAGCGACCCCTACAGGGAGAGTGGTTCGTCTACAATTGTTTAAACTATTTCCTGTCCTCAGAAAACAGAACCACAAAGGGACATGAATTAGATTAAGACACAAGGAAACTAAGAAATACATCAGGCAGGAAATTTAAAAAGTCAGGCATGAAATCTGACCTCATAGATATTCACGTAAATTAAAGTACAAGAGGAGGTAACTACTCTGTCAATGATGAGCCGCCACTATTGCCATAGCTCCCAGGACTGGGTGCAGCTTATCATCAGAAAGCTCAGGGAAAAGCATTTTCCTTCACATTCTAATGGGTTTAAAGAAATCACCACCCCTTCCCCAATTTGCAAACCATCTTCACCTTCATTGTTTTAAATGACACTGTGGAGATATTGAATGTTATTTTTCTCTTCAACATAAAAGCTCATTCAAAAATTTTACGAAAAGTTCTTCAAACACAAATATTATTTCCTTCCTTCTTCAGCAAAGCCGAGAGAAAGCTATCTCCTTAATATCTGAAAACTACTGAGTTATATGAACATCATTTCTGCATAGCAAAGTTCATTTCAACAAGTCTTTCAACAATCTGAGGTTTTGTTTGTAACTGCTCAACCCTGTAGCCCACAAAGACTCTCCTTTTCCAGAACCAATAGCATTTATTTGAATATTTTAGGATTTAATCACATGCTGCCTCATAAAACTCTTTTGTATTATTGGCATTTTCCCCATTTTAAGGCCGTTGAGGAACAAACGGTATCAATGCATCTTTTTTTTATTCCCCACAGTACACAACACAACGCTAGGCATCTAGAAAATATTAAATAAATATTTAACAGGTTAATGAATTTCCCAACTCCATGTTTTAGGGCTTAGATAATCTCCTGTCCCCTGTCATTCCATGTTCCCTGGAAATAACACATTAGAAGTGTTATCTTTAGTCACTGCATCTAAATAGTTCCTGTATCTTTTTTCTACAGAATTGGTGGATAAAGGTGTGTACAGTGTTCTTATTCACTAAGCTATCCTGTACAAAAACCAGAAAACTTAACACAACACAGTTTCTCTTTTATTCGTTCAATAAGCATGTACTCATGTGCCTAGCAAGGCAAACAGCCACGTTCTCTGCATTCCAGGAATCCAATGAGTGGTTAAAAATAAAGGAAGTGATTACCATACACTGCAATGAGTGTTGTGAGAGCACTTAGTTGGGTACCAATGCTCCATGAGTGGTTCACAGTCGACTTCGCTGAGGAGGCAGCGTACAGCGGAGGCTTCCAGGCTCTGTCCTGGGGGAATGGGCACTTCAGGAACAGCAGGCACGACTGAAGGGCCAGAGCCCGAAACCAGAAGCTGTCTGAGGAAACCACCGAGAGGCACCCACAGTGCTGGCAGTTGTGAAAGCTGAGGGAAGTGGCCCAGGGTCAGAGCGTAACAGGCACGGGAAGCCATGCTAAGAAGTGAGGAACTTTATCCTCCAGCAAGTTGCCACTTAATCCAACAGGAAGGCATTAAGACTATAAGTAGAAGAGTGGCTGCATGGGGTTTTCCATTTTATAACAGGGTAATGGTGTTGAATGGATTGAAGGCGTGAGGGAGGGGAGGGGAGGAGGCCACTTGGGAGACTCAAGAAAATGGTTCGGTCAGGGCCGTGAACTGAAGCAATAAAAGTGGAGATGGAAAGACAGGAAGCGGGAGACATTCGGTACGAGTTCCTTGTTGACTGACTAGATACAACGTCTAATGGAGAGGGAAAATCGAAGCAGGGCTCTGAATTCTTATTATAATTATGTGAAAGGTGGGGTCATACACTAAAGGAGTAGATCCAGAAAAAACAAAAGCTTGAGAAGGGGGAAACGATCCGTAATGCCGTTTTTTTACATGCTGAGGTTTAGGTGTCTCTGGAACATCCAAGCGGACATGTTGAGTCGGTACTCGGCAAGGGTCCGGAGGCCAAAAAAAAAGGTCAAAAATTCACTTATGTGTCTTCGGTCAGGGTTTCCTAGAGATAAAGCTGAGCCAGGATTCTTGGTCACCTCATTTACTGAGGACATGCTCTCAGAGACAAGGAGTGAGGAGGCGGGACAGGAGGATGGGGAAAAGCCAAGGAAGAACGTGGCCTCAGGTGAAACAACTGCACCCAACATCGGTCCCACGGCAGCACGAGGGCCAGCCTTGGGAACACCTGGTGACCGTCACTGACTGAGGTCCGGAGAGGAAGGACTGCTACTTAGCCTGGGCGCCCACTGACCAAGTGAGCCTGAGCAGGACCCACCGCATTCACCACACTAGGCTTCAGACACAGTGGACAATTTTTCCTTTCCACAAAGCGGATTCCTGCCTCAGGAATCGCTGTCTTTGCTGCTCTATCTGCCTAGGACGTCCTTCCCCAGTTCTCCTCATTACTCAGTTGGTGTCAGAGTCCTCCTCGGGCTCCTCTCTTCTGCTGTTGCTTCTGCCTCCCTTATCACATTCTACTGGTTTTGCTTCACTACCTAATTCACTATTTATTTGTTCATCTTCCTCCCTGGCTAGAATGTAAACAGCTCAAGAGCATGGACTTCTCCTCATTTGTTCTCCTGGGTTTCCCCAACCCCTAAAACAGCACTCGGCACTTGTTGAATAAATAAATATTAGGAGGAGCTGCTGGTGACAGCAGCTCAAACAAATTCTTGGAACTGTAGAGTGGAAATGGATAGGGAGCTTGAGAAATGTGTGTGTGTGTGGGGGGGGGTACTGTCAACAAATGTATACAACTATACAAGAAGTTTGGCCACAGAGCAGAAGTCAAGGCAGAGAGGCTAGAGAGCAAAGCTGTAGCAAATGAGTCCTTATGTTCATGTCACACAGGATTCACAGTCCACTGCTATTAACAATATCTCGATGAGAGGACACTGAGATGTCTCTGAAAGCACACCACAAAAGAACAGCAGCAGAGGTTAAAATAAAGGGTCTATCTTCAAAGAGAGAGAAAAAGTTTTTTTTGTGAAAATAGCCTGTTAGTGGACATAAAGGAAAAGGAAGGAAAGAGAACTACAGACAAAAAGGCTAGAATCTGACATCAGCTTAGATCATTTTTGCAGAAAAACAAAAACTAGTATCTTGCAGTGCCTGCCTTTATATGCGATTTCTAAAAATTCTAAAGAGTATTATGCAGTTCCCTGACTTTTTAAATGAATTATAATAAACACAATCTAATCTTCGATTAATGAATGACGAGGTCGATTATGAACATTAGTGACAGCCGTCAGCGTTTAACGAGGAGTATACAGGGCCACAGGCTCCTGACCTCAATAACCGACATGTATGCGTTTCTCTGCTTCATTTTTGTTTTGTTTTAAGCTGAGCCATCCTGCCATGTGTTGGCAGCTCAATGGCAGCTCAGCTCGGGCCGGGCATCGAACCGCTGTTGCTCAGAGCTCACACTCTTGAGCGAGCTCTTAACCAACTGAGCCACTCTGCCGGCCCTCTCTGCTTCATTTTTATGGTTCGTTCTCCCTTTGCCATCTGGCTTTCCTTCCTGGTCTCCAAAGGCGCCACCTCCTTCTACTACCACCACACTCCTCTCAGTCTCGCCACAAGCTTCTTCGGCCATCCCTGGTGTGGGTAACTAGATACACAGGCTTATGAGAAACTGCGTGAACTGAGGTTTGAGTTAATAGGTGGGTTCAAAGCAGAACTAGGAACTTTCTCCTGAGTAGAGAAATATTAGCTTAGGTGCCCACCAACCACAGGTTGTACCCTGCAGGCTTCGTGGTTCTTCTCATCTGTGCAGAAACTCTTGTTTCGCATCAACCTACCTGGAGCTGCCTCAGGCGTATGAAGCTGCCAGGTGTCTAGCCTTCACTTATGTAAGTGGGGTCTTACAGACAAATAAGACCAAAAAAAACAAAACAAGAAACTGAGCCTGAGAAAAAGAAGTAATTGAAGAATGGGGTAGAGAAAGATTTTTTTTTTAACTGTAAAAGGGAAAAAAATATTAAATAAAAGTTTTTAAAAATTAGGAAAAGGGTAAGAGAAAAGACTACCTTATACATACAAATCTAATATAAGTAACTTAATTTATCAGTTAATTTCATTGAATTTTAAGCTTTTGAGGGAAAAATATTTTATGTTGAAACGTGATAAAAGATAAAAATTCCCAAAAAGAGTTTGAATTTCAAATTATTGGAATTCCACATAATCCTAGCAATTCCTTTCTACTGTAAACTTTTACAGTGAAATGTTCATATGACTGATTTACTAAATGTTCATGATGTTTTAGTAAACCTAAACCCCAATTTTTAAATAAACCCTAAAAATTTCAGAACTTATTCTTCTCCATTGATGCCAGTCATTAGACATACTTTTATATATTTGGAGAAAGTTACTTAAAATACTTTCTCAAAACACTGAAATTCTGGAGGGTTTGAATTGAATGTTTAAAAACTACTATTTA